GATGCTCTGGGAGCCCTGGGATGCCCTGAGACCCTTGGAATGCTCTGGGAGCTGAGCCCCATGGGACTCCTGGGATGCTCTGGGACCCCTTGGGATGCTCTGGGACCCCTGGGATGCTCTGTTGGTTGGACCCCATGAGTGAGGATGCTGTGGGTGCTGCTCTGGGACCCCTGGGATGCTCTGGGACCCTTGGGATGCTCTGTTGGTTGGACCCCATGAGTGAGGGTGGGGTGGGTGCTGCTCTGGGACCCCTGGGATGCTCTGGGACCCCTGGGATGCTCTGTTGGTTGGAGCCCATGAGTGAGGATGCGTGGTGCTGTGCTGCTGTGGGACCCCTAGGATGCTCTGGGACCCCTGGGATGCTCTGGGACCCCTGGGATGCTCTGTTGGTTGGAGCCGTGAGGATGCTGTGGGTGCTGCTGTGGGTGACGCTGAGGTTCTCCCCTAGGTATTACCGAGGGGCTGTGGGTGCCCTGGTGGTGTTTGACATCACCAAGCACCAGACCTACGACGTGGTGGATCGCTGGCTGAAGGAGCTGTATGACCATGCTGAGGCCAGCATCATTGTCATGCTGGTGGGCAACAAGACTGACCTGGCCCAGGCTCGGGAGGTGCCCATGGAGGAGGCCAAAATGTTTGCAGGTATGAGTTGGTACCCTGGGATGGAGCTGAGAGCTTGGGGACCTCCCTAGCTGAGGGGACCTGCACCAATTCAGGGGCTCAGGTGACTCTAAAGGGTTTCCAGGATGGAGCTGTCTCCTCACTGAGATCTTCATCCTCTCCTTGCAGAGAACAAAGGGTTGCTGTTTGTTGAGACCTCAGCACTGGATTCCACCAATGTTGAACAGGCATTTGAGACCATCCTGAAGGGTACAGACAGCAGCACTGTGATCCAGAGGGTTCCTGGGGCATCCCAGGGTCCCTTCCTGGGGATGTGTAGCACTTCCCTCCTCTGTCCTGCCCCAGCTGAGCTCTCTGGGGTTGTTTTTCTGGCTGGTTTGGTTTGGTGCTGGGTGTTTGTTTGGCTCCCCACGCCTTGTGGCTTTGTTCTCCCTGCCCCTGGGCATCCTCCCCTGAGCCCTGGGGGCTCCTGCTCCCCCATAATCTCCTGGTCCCTTCCTGTTGTCCTGGAGTCTGACTCAGTGTCTCCAGCACCTTGCAGAACCAGCTTGGGGGGAGCTGGAGGGGACAGGGATGGAGGGGGATGATACTCAGCCTGGAGCTGCTCTCCTGGAGTGGCTGTTAGCAGCACCAGGGAAGGGAGATGTGCCATGCCAAGGGACCCCTGGGATGCTCTGGGATCCCCTGGGATGCTCTGGGACCCCTGGGATGCTCTGGGATCCCTGGGATGCTCTGGGACCCCTGGAATGCTCTGGGAGTGAAGCCCTAAGAGTGAGGATGCTGAGAGTGATGCTCTGGGCTCTCTGGGATGCTCTGGGATCCCTGGGATGCTCTGGGACCTTTGGGATGCTCTGGGACCCCTGGGATACTGTGGGATCCCTGGGATGCTCTGGGATCCCTGGGATGCTCCAGTAGTGGAGCCCCATGGGTGAGGATGCTGTGGGTGATGCTCTGGGACCCCTGGGATGGTCTGGGACACTTGGGATGTTCTAGCACCCCTGGGATGCTCTGGTAGTTGAGCCCCATGGGTGAGGATGCTGTGGGGGATGCTCTGTGACCTCTGAGATGCTCTGGAGCCTCTGGGATGGTCTTGT